AATAATATAATTTTATTGATTTTGTCTCTTATCCATAATTATTTATATAACTGGTTTTCAACATATATTATTTTAGTAATTCAAATGGGAGATTCACATGAAAATAATAAAGAAAAAGGAAAAGAGAAAGAAAACTATGAAGCTTAGACCAAGGAGGATTCCGATGAATTGTTACAATTGATAGTGGATGCTATAAAAAGATGATAGAATATTATTTAGAATTATTATTATTATTTATCTAAACATTATTGTTTTTTTTTAATTATTTTATCTTTGACTCTTTTTAAATTTGAATGTATGAATTTTTTTTTAAATCTTATCAAATGTCAAAACTCCACAAAATCCCACAGAATCCATTAAAATCCTGATTTAAAAGTCTTGTAGAATCCATTAAAATCCTGATTTTAAATCTTGTAGAATCCTGCAAAATCTTAAAAGTCATGAAAATCCTGCAAAGTCTTTTAAAATCCGCAAGATTTTTTTTCACTAAAAAAGTCCTTTAAAATCCTAATCCAATACACCCCCCTTAGTCTTTAACTGATGTTTTATTATTGTGATCGATCACTTTTTTAAAAGACATTTGATACTTTTTTTTTTTTGGTTTGTCCTGGAGTATTCACCGTCGACAGTAGTGACTAATCTCCTTGCTACGTTGAGGGTGAGATAATTGGTCTCAAGATTTAACGGGGCTGCATACACAAGGTAGGAGTCGAACTCCTTCGAACTCCTGACCTTGCTTAAGCGTGAATCAACCATTACCGCTGAACCACACGCTTGGGGTTAAACATTTGATACTTGAAGATGGTGATTTTAGGAAAAGTTTTTAAAGATAAAAAAAATCACTTTTTCAAAAGAAATTAAACCAAGTCTCTCTCTTAAATAAGTCACATATTTCAACACAAGAAAAAAACCTATCATTTGTAGTAATTTTTTTACGAAAAAAAAATCATGTTGATCAGTTAAAGGATATATTATATATCAATCAATTAATCTCGTGTCAAATGCCACTATTGGTCCTGTTGTATTTGTTCTGATTTGTATATGTTGTAATTCATTTAAAAAATGTTGTAATCGATCAAGAACTTCATTATTGATTAAAAATATACTTGTGCAATGTATTTGTTTCCTGGAATGCTAATTCAATGCATGTTTGGTTTCGATTTATAAACGTAGTTTTTCTTTTTCTTTTCACGTTTACAAATAAATTTACGTAAAAGTTTTAATTTTTTTTCTTCTCATAAACGTGAATTTTCACATTTAAAAGCTGAAACAAACACGCACTCAATCTATTACGATACATAAAATCGATTAAATAATTCTTCTAAGGGTTGATTAAGTTATTTTTTTTAAAGAAAAATGACAATAATATTTTAACTTTTTTCACACTTTTCTATTTAACTATTTAAATTAAATAATTTTATAATATTATTTATCTTTAATTATTCATATTTTAATTAAAGAATCAAATACAACCTTATTTTTACTTTTTTTTTCCTCTATTCATCTCTCACATATTTTCATCAATTATACTTATTTCCATGTTATAAAGAAAAAACAAAGTGTTATTTATTTATTTTTACATACTCACATTCTTATTAATATTTTTCTTATTTTATTTCCTAACATAATATCAAAATTATTCACATCATTTTAGTTTACATATAAATATATATTTTCAAATATAATTTAGCTTTGTATAATTCCAATTTTTACAGCATTATTTAAATAATATTAGATCTTTGTTTTTTGTCATAATATTATTTAACAAATGAAAAAAAAAACAAAAAGAGATTTGAGAAGAAAAAAGAAAAAAAAAGAAGCACATAGTGTTGTGAGGGGAGGTGAAGTAGTGAAGTTTCTTGCTCAAGGGACAAAGGCATCTGAGGAAAAAATAAATTAGAATTTGTATACAGTTTCGCAGTTATAAACCCTTACATTAGGCTTAGACACAGAGAAGAAGAAGAAGAAGAAGAAGAAAAAAAGAGAGTGATGGAGTGCGTATTCGGCTTGGTGGGTAATGGTTTCGCGATCGTGGTGGCGGATTCATCGGCGGTGCACAGCATCCTCGTCCACAAGTCCAACGAGGACAAGATCATGCTCCTCGATTCCCACAAACTCATCGCCGCCAGTCTTCTTTCTTCCCCTTCACAGGCGCACACTGTTTTTCTCTCACACTCGGCACTCAGAGTATAAAGCTCTGATACCAATTTGTAGAAAAACTAAGAGAGACGAGTAATACTAGTATTGGGTGAACTTAGCAACTCACTTTTTTTTAGTGAATAAGAGATGACCTTTAAATAGCCATTGTACAACGTACCAAATTAACAAGAAGATAACAAAATATCTTATCAAAACAAATCTTATCAAAAACTATCTTATCTAAACTGAAACAAATAAAACAGATAAACTAACTCGGATATCTCTAAAATTTAAGATTATCTACCAGAATTGACCATGAAGATCAACCAACTCTAGTCAGCGGATGGGATTTCCGTAGCTATGTCAATGGAAATACTTTCCCCCAACAAGATGTGTTTTGTGGAGCCATCTGAGTCACCTGACATAGTTCAAGCTTGCAACATGAAGGTACAAGTTGGAAAGGGTTCATGGGGAGGTTTAAGCTTTGGATGAGTCTATTCCAAAGGATGCTATGGTGGAGGAGGTATTTGAAGAAACGTAGTTGTAGATTATACCATTGTAGTTAATGATGATTGGTTTTTAAAAAAAATTCAATAATATCTTAAAACGTACGTGGCTTTGCCAGAAAGAAATGTCAGTCATATGAGGGAGATTATTGTGCGATATCATCCCACTATGATCTTCTTATATGAGACTGTATGTTTTTCTCCCATAGACTTTGGGAACCCAACAGGGTCTTCATCTGTAAACACCAATTATCATAATTGGTTTTCTTTGACAGTTGTGGTACAGTCATTCCATTAACAACCTTCGCCATTACTCTCTCTTTCTTCTTTCTTCCCCTTCACAGGCGCACACTGTTTTTCTCTCACACTCGGCACTCAGAGTATAAAGCTCTGATACCAATTTGTAGAAAAACTAAGAGAGACGAGTAATACTAGTATTGGGTGAACTTAGCAACTCACTTTTTTTTAGTGAATAAGAGATGACCTTTAAATAGCCATTGTACAACGTACCAAATTAACAAGAAGATAACAAAATATCTTATCAAAACAAATCTTATCAAAAACTATCTTATCTAAACTGAAACAAATAAAACAGATAAACTAACTCGGATATCTCTAAAATTTAAGATTATCTAACA